ATTTGTATTTATATATAAATATAATTTCTATTATACATATCTAAAATCATATAATGAAACATGCTCTGTACTCACCTCCATCGGCATATGTCTCGATGCCGTATCCATCTTGAAGTCCAGTGGACCAGGTACCTTCGTAGGCGGCCCTCGATGTTTTGCTGTACCTCGAACCGTACCTCCCTTTCAGCCCCCTCGTCCACTCACCCTTATACACCCACTTCTCCTTCGTTTCTACTCCCAACCCGTTTATTTTGCCGCTGGACCAACTGCCTTCATGGTGGGATTAGTTCAATTAAACTTTTGCCTCATTAGCTCTCGTATTATAATTTAACCTCAAATAAATCTTGAAAACATAAATGTGTAAAAAATATTTTCAGATAAATAAATTAGTATGTTTGGTTTGTTTTTTTTTCTAGAATTGGAAGTCATTGAATTAAAAAAATAAAACATGATATTTTGTGAAAGATTCAATGAAATCTGTTTTGAATTTACTGAGATTTGCAAGCTGCAAGTTCACATTTTTATGGCTTAATCTCTTCTTACAACATCGAAACCATAGGGAATTCAATATTTTCACTCAAAGAGTTTCTTTCGTTAAGCTTCATTCAATGTGTTGTACATGTATTTAATTTTTAAATTATACTAAAACTTCTCCAGTTCTTGAAAGATTTTCATGTCATAAAAAAATGCAAACATATAATATGTAATCTACTCTCTCATCTATAATCGCAATAATATATTTCATAATAATAATAATAATTTTTCATAACAATAATAATAATAATAAAAGAAATGAACTAGACAAATGTACATTTTTTTCGAAAAAAAACTATAACGTCCAACAAACTATCAAGTTGGACCAACAACTAACACCTAAATAACATCTTAACGGTAGAATATAATCAATCGTAATTCACACAAATATACACACACACACACACACACACACACACACACACACACACACACACACACACACACACACATATATATATATATATATATATATATATATATATATATATGTTGGTTGTCATTGCGTGTTTAACTATTTTACTATAAAACATGTAGCAAAATGGGAACTTCTTTCAATTTATACTCACAAAAAATGTTGGTCTTTATGCGTTTGTGACTGTATCCTGCTTTAAATGAACATTTTAAAAATTGGTAAGGCCTAATAAAACAAAATTTCAATGTTTTTTAATTATAAAAATTAATGCAGCAATCCATAAGAAAGTAAAATTAAACAAAATTGTTAAAATAGACGGAAAATACACTTTTTTAAATCCAAAACTAAACAATGCTTTTTTGCTTTGATAAAAAAAATAAAAAGGCCGTCAAGCTACTCAAGCTACCACATAAGAAAATATTCAAGTAGTCGTTCTAATTAGATGCTTTAATTATGTTTCAATTGATGAAACCTTCTTTGAAATTGTATTGCAAAGTAGGAAGCCCAACACGTGGGCTTCTGTTTGCATGCATTTGTATAGTATTTATTTATTTAGCCGCATGTTTGTGTTAAAAACGTCAAAAATAATCCTATTTATGAACGTGTCAAAATTTCAAATGTTAAAAAGTTGTATTTGAATGAAGAAATTTGTTTCATTATTTAATTTAATTATTTCAAATTTTTAACGCATTTAAAAAAGATTGTAGTTTCACCTTAAAAAGTTTTATTCACTTAGTTTTTCAACCAATTAAATCAACACATAGCGTATGATGGTTTAATTTTAAAAACATTTTTGCAGGATTGTAAATTGTCTTCACCATCATCATTGTCATCCTCATCATCTTCACCATCATTTTTTTCATCATCATTACCGTCGTCATCATCATCATCACCATCGTAGTCGTCATCATCATCATTATCATCATCATCATCGTCGTCATCATTATCGTCATCGTCATCATCATCATCTCCCCACTCCCAAATTTGTCATCATTATCATCAATATAATTCTTACCACTCACTTTAACAACCATATCATCATCATCATCATCATCATAGTCATAGTTTTCCTCATCATCATCGTCCTAATCGTTATCATCATTTCCTCGTCATCATCTCCGTTTTGTACTGTCTTACTTGCACAAAAAATATGAGTAGAGCCGTCATGGAAATGGTTCGTATTATCTATCACAATGGATCCGTGCGATAAAAGTTATATTATAATTAGGAGAAGTAAGTAAGTGTTGTTATTACCATCAAAGACGCAAAAATATGTATGCATACACATTGTACACACACACACCCCACACACACACACACACAAACATACACAAACATAAACACACTTTAACACAACACACACACACACAAAACACACACACAACACACACATTTACAAACAAACACACACATACACACACATACATTTTGTATTCGTACTATCTATATTTTTATATATCATAACAAACTCCGTGTGCAAAAAAGTTCTAAAAAAATGTTGATGGTAATTTTCAAGGTCAAGAATAAGGGTATCAGCCGACTGGGAAAATCTTGCAAAAAAAAACAGAAAAAAAGAAAAACATCTAAGAAAAAAAAACTATTTTTTAATAGTTATTTTTCCATTTTTTTTATACACGTGAATTAATTTGTTAATCATTTATCACATTTTAATCATTTTAAATATCATTGTATCAATTTTTTAATGATTCTTTAGTAGTATTGAACTTATAAACAATAAAAATTGATTTGTAATTAAACATAAATTAAATAAAATATTTCACAAATTACACGTTGGGAACGTTCATTCTAACATTTACCTATTAAAATTGTGATAAAATATTGAATATGACGATACCACACAGCATTTATAACTTGATCTACTAAAACTTTTATATAACTAAACTAGTTTTTATATATGAAATAAATTTAACAAAAACAAGTTTGTAGATATTTCTAAATAATTGTATGTAGAAGATAATATTTAAATGACAAAAAAACCCAACCTTCATATGTGTTTCCGTTGGGCCAAGTGTAGGTACCACTAGTTTCAAACCCTTTGTTCCATTTGCCACTGTACCTACCCTGTCCGTCGGGACCTGTGCACACCCCGTAACCGTGAAACTTCCCATCCGACCACTGGCCACAGTAGCTACCGCCGTCGTTGAAGTCGTACCTCCCCGCCTGAGTCATTACTTCAAGTTATGTTCTTCTTCTTCTGTTTGTTTGTTCGTTTGGGTGTCTACTTTGATATTTGTTCGTGCCTTCGTTTATCTATTTGTCTGTTTGTTTGTAAATACGTTTAAAACTGCGTTAAATGTTTAACTACAGATCGGTATGTTTTAATATCTATTTATAAGTCTGTTATGTTCCAGAACTTGAGTCCTATTAATCCGAACAGTTGTTGTGTTGCAATTTTATGGAAAGCTTGTTATTTCCACTGTTAGTTAGACGTGTACAGTACGTACATCGCACGTTGTACACCAACATCCTTGTGTAAGGCGCATGGGAAATCGAAAAGTTAAAATTTTTAAGGATAACTTAAGAAGATGTTTACATATCATCTTGCAGTTGTTTGTTTGCTTTCATTTCACGCAATCGATCCTTTAAATTATTTATTTATTTTATTTTTTCTCATCTGTTTATTAATATTAAAAAAATTGAAGTAGCATTTTATAAGCGATCTCGTGTTTGTTGCTTCCTCCAATGAGAACGAAATGTCTGCAGAATTTAAAGTTAAGCATGCATTGTTTGTTATGTATATGTGCACAACGTATGCATGTATGTACGTGTTCATGCGTGTGTGAACGTTGGAGTGTGAAGATGTTATGTAAACAAACGACTCGTGTGCATGCGTTAATGTATTTATGATGTTATCAATTGGCGGACGTAAATTCCGACATTTCGGAATCAAAAATAATTATTAATGAATTAATGTTTTTTTTGTTAAATAACTTTGAGTTTCTGGACTCTAATGAATTTATTAAGAAATGTATTGAACATTACGCTCCTAGCTACATTTCGGAAAGTAAAGAATTGTTTTTGAAAGATGTCCTGAAGTTTTGTCCTAACTTTACCAACTCTAGTTCTAGTAGTACTAATACTAACACTACAGCTAAAAAAACCAAAAAAGTATCCAGCTCCTCGAAGCTAAACTTTTCAAATGATTTTATGGAAATAACTTAAACTATAAAAATGTTAAAAGAGAATAACCTGCTCCCAAAGTTACCAAAGTATGTAGCTGCCTGTTTGAATTTTCCAATTTTGTGTTGTTCAAAAACCCCTGCTGACAGTGATATAAATGAAAATGAGGTTCATCAAGTTCAACATAACTATGTTACTAAGGATGAATTTTCTATAGTTATCAGCACACTTAACACAGTGGTTAGCAAAATTAATCTCATATCTGACAAACTCAATTATAGAAAAAAATGGGGTGACGTTTGTCCTGATAATAATACACTGGAATTTCCTAACATTACTTTATCTGATGAATTTCCTAAATTGCCATCAATTCATAGCTCAGTTGATGTTGTTGGTGAGCTTGGCCAACCGTCGCCCAAATTGACAAAACCTTGGCTAAATGATAAAGATTGGTTTTCTTTAGTTACAAAGCCCCAGATAAAAAGTCTTTCTTCTAGAGATAGGAGGTCAATGTCAATCAAAGGAAAGCTATCTGTTAACTCTAGCCTGATTAAAGGTAATAACAAAATTATTAATAAATCTGTTTTCCATGTTGGGAATTTGTCTAGATGTACTAAACAAATGTTATTAGATTATTTGTCTCAACATAATATTTGCCCCTTAGGATGTTTCCCGTTATATCGTAAGTCTGTCGGTATGCCAAATCAACCTCGTCCTGATGAAAATTCGGAATCCACCTCCTTCAAAGTTTTAATTGACGCAAAAGATGAGGAAAAATTATACTCATCAGACATCTGGCCTGAAGATTGTTTGGTGACAAGATGGGTCTTTTACAACAATGATGTCGTCAAGATGGGTCCTCACCAGCCGTGATGGCGTCGGACAGTGTTACTGGCAATCATGGTCGGCTCAATTATATTGATCCTGTCAATAACTTGTTAAATAATTTTTATTCTTCTTTTTCTTTCCTTTTACCTGAAAATGTTGATTCATTTCTTAATATTAATTCTTTTTCAATTTTTCATGTTAATATACGTAGTATTTTTAATAAAATAACTGAATTATCTGTTTTACTTGAATCTTGTGGTTAGATTTGATTTGGTGGCAGTAAGTGAAACTTGGTTGAGTGATGAGTTGAATGATTTAGTTAATTTGAATGATTTTAATTTTGTTTGTAAAAATAGAAATGACAAAATTGGTGGTGGTGTTGGTCTGTTTATAAGGAACTGTCTTAGATATGTTATTCGTGACGATCTTTTGTTTCTATCTTCAACTTTTGAATTATTAATTGTTGAGGTTCTATTAAATAATAACAGCAATTTTCTAATTATTGTTATTTATCGTCCTCCCTGACTTTTTTGAATGACTTAAACTCTTTATTCTTGAATATTAATCCTCATTTATTTAAATGTATTTATGTACTCGGTGACTTTAATATTAATTTATTTAATGATGATTATAAATTTACTTCAACTTTATTTATTAATTTAATGTCTTCTTTTGGTTTTAATTATTTAATTAAGTCTCCAACACGTGTTACCACTACTAGTTAAACCTTGATTGACAATAATTTCACTCCACAAATCTGGTGTCATTTGCTCATCAATATCTGATCATTTTCCAATTTTCTCCTCTTCCTATTCTGTCAATTACTCTAGTAAATCTTGTACTCCATTTTTTGTTTATAAATATTCTAACTTGTTAAAATTAAATATTTTTTTTGAAAACTATGATTGGAGTAATATCTTAAATTGTTCTGATACAGATTTAGCTTTTGATTTATTTATTGATATAGTTAAGAATGCAGTTATAAAATACTGTAGAGTTTCTTGTATTAAATCTGCTAGGAGATAACCCTGGATTACGAAAGGTTTAATTATTTCATCTTCTTATAAAAATAGGTTGTATAAAAAATACTTAAAAAGTGGTTTGCATTCTGACAAATTATTTTATAATAGATATAAAAATATTTTTACATCCTTATGTAAATTATCTAAAAACCTTTATTTTAACAATCAATTCACTAAATGTAGATCTAATAGTAAACTTACCTGGTCTTTACTTAAATCTTGCTTGGGTTTAAAGCATTCTACTCCTATTAATATCTCTATCAATAATGAATTTGTTAAGGATGATTGTACTCTATGTAATTATTTTAATGATCACTTTTCGTCAACTTTTATCCATATGGAAAATTCCTGCTCTTTTAATTTGAAATCTAATTATAAAAAATATCTTACTGCTAACATTTCTAATTCTTTTGCTCTATTTGAATGTTACCCCTTTGAAATTGTTAATATTGTTAAAAATTTTAAAAATTCTTATAGTTACGGAGATTATTGTATTTCAAATTTTTTATTAAAAAAGATTGTTTATAGTATTTTAATACCACTACATTATTTAATTAATTTATCTTTAAAAAATGGTCATTTTCCTAAATGTCTGAAAATTTCTAAGGTACTGCCACTTTATAAATCAGGTGATCGCCATTCTATTAGTAACTATCCTCCCATTTCTGTTATTTCTACCTTGTTATGGAAGAGGAATGGAAATTGAAAATAAATACTGATAAATGCCAGTTACTAAGAATCGGTTCCCGCCAGCCGTGTACTTCATACACCATTGTGGATGATGATAATTCGCGGTTCAATTTTCCTGAAGTTGATGAGTTATCAGATCTTGGAATAGTTGTGGATAATAAAATGAGGTTCAGAAGCCATGTATTGAAAATAGTGCACAAAGCAAATTCAATGTTGGGTATTATTGCCAGAAACTTTAAGGGCCTTTCAAACGAAGCTTTTTTATTGTTGTTCAAATCGTTGGTGAGATCGCATTTGGAATATGGAGTTCAAGTGTGGAATCCTTATAGAGTTGGACTAATAGACGAGGTGGAAAAGGTACAAAGAAGAGCAACTCGTTTGATAAAGTCTTGTAGAAATCTTTCATACGATGATCGACTGAGGAAACTGGGTTTGCCGTCTCTTGCCTTCAGACGACAAAGAGCCGATCTTATATTAGTTTATAGGATAATACATGAGGGTGTTTCGGCTGATATTGGACCTACTTTGTTTTTTTCTGGCGATGAGCGTACAAGAGGACATAACCTCAAGTTAAAAGCCTCAATCTCTCATAAAGACTGTCATAAATTCTACTTCTCAAATAGAGTGGTGGAAGATTGGAATATGCTGCCCTCGGTTGCTGTTAATGCGGATTCTCTGTCTGTTTTTAAATCGACAATTGATGATTTTTTTGGTGATATAAAGTTTAATTGGCAATCAAACTTTTAATTTATTGTAATTGTTTAATTCTAATTGATGTCTGTAGAAAATTTTTTTAATATTTTTATTTACAGTCATTTTTCGGTTGATAATTCGAATCGAATGATGGTTTAATTATGTTTTATTTAATTTTATTCCTTTAACCTTCGGTCAATCATTTATTTTTTGAGTTTTGTTTTGTGATGGCAAGGGGCTTGCCCGTGCTATGAAATAATAATAATAAAAAAAAAATAAATAAATAAATTATCTTTAATGCAATTATAATGATGCTATACATAGGGTTATTATATATATACAAAAATCTGTGTACATGTTATCATTTACGATGTTGTTAATCATATATTCTAATTATTCTCCTTTTTTTTTCTCTCCTGTTTTTTTCTTATTATTATTATTATGAATCTACCTAGCGCGCTAGCAAATTTTCAAATCTGTATCGATCGAAATTTCACACGCAATAACCAATATCTCTGCTGTTATATAATGACTACACGTAGACCATGTAACTTATTCAAACATTCCAACATCTACTCATGTAATTTATGTCTAGATATCGTTAGAACGGTTAATGAGCAAACACATTCACCCAAACTCATTAACTTACACCCACACACACCTACTTGAAAAATCAACAAAATTAAATGTCATATAAAAATAGTGCATGTATAACAAATATATCTATATATAATAATTTTTTCTATTTATATCCATATATTCAATCATGATACAACATAATATATATAAGCTTTGGACTTGATGAAATAATTTCTCGGAAAAACAATATCTCTGAAAGCTTTGATGCTATTTGCTTTTCTTTTTTGTGTCTGTTGTTTATAATGATGAGATAATGAGCATTTGTTACTTGTTAGTATGTTCATTCATCATTCAACATTCAACAAATATTCAGCTGGTGTTATGTAGAAATATACCATTGTGAAATCATGTGCGCATAATAAATAAATGTAGAGAATAGTCTTTTTTATTTTTCTAAAGCATTTGAGAAAATGTACAAGTCAGTTTAAAATAGGCAACGCTTTATCCATTATATTTTAAATTTTTTAATGAGAATAACAACGCGATATCTGGTCAAGTGGTCATGGTCAACTGAGTTAACATTCCCATATTGTTGTTAACTGTAGAAGGCTTTTTGGAATAATTGCTTGAAAAGCTCTTTGAGGTCAGCTTGAGAGAACAAATTAACAATTCAAGACGACGACGTGGAATTAGAACCTATTTTATTCAGTTAAGACCATCTTATTTTATACTGATCGTGGTAATTATTGGCTTACCGCCCTCTTCTCAACACAAACTTAAGTGAAATGTTGATGTATTTCTGATAAGCTTTATCAAGTGTTGTATTATTAGAATGCTGGTGGCCTCACGGTACTTAGCTACTTTCTGGTTGGTTACTTTTGAATATACAATTAATAATATTCAATCGGTTATAATTAAAATAAATTTTTATTTGTTAACTCAACAAATTAATCAAACAAGTATTATAAAATGAAGGTCTTTTGCAACAAACTAAATAATTTTACACAATTAGTGTAGCAATTGTTTTAACTTGAGAGAAAAATTTTATTGTCCAAGCTATCTTTTATCGTAATCTTAATAATGACACCAATAAACCTCTGCTGAGTCGAAACTTGAAAGGTTAGCATCAAACACCAATTAATAGAATATATCACCAGCGGACTTTTTGATTTTAAACTCCTCGCATTGAAGTTACGTTTCTTGTCACTAGCATTAATAATATAATTGATCATTTATGATTAAAATAATCTTTAACTGTAGCTAAATCAATCAATCAATCTTTGTTTAGCGTCCAGAGACATAGTTCCTCCGAGGTAGAACGTTGTTTTCTTTGCCATCAAATTTTCGCGCCAAATTAGACGATCAGTTGTATCCATTTCAATTATATTTAGAGTTTTCATGTCTTGTTCGATTGTTTGCGACCAGGACTTCTTTGGTCGGCCTTTCGGACGTGTGCCAGGTACTTTAACATCTGCAAGATAGGTTATGGCACTGTTTCCACTTCGTTTGACATGACCAAACCACCGCAGACAGTGTTGCCGGCATTCGTCCTTTATATTATCTAAACCAGCACATTGTAGCTCTTCTCAAGTTAAAACTATTGCTTTACCAATTGTGTAAAATTATTTAGTTTGTTGCAATAGACCTTCATTTTATAATTTTTGTTTGATTAATTTGTTGTGTTAACAAATAAAATTGAAAGTATAAAAGTGTGAATTGTAACTAAACTATTAAATAAGTAAAAAATTAATTTAATTGTAACCAAATTAAACGGCAGAAAACACGATATGTGCCAAAAACCATTAAATACTTCAAATTTTAGTTGAATTAAGTAAATGTCAGAGAGTAATAATAAAGTATTAAATTCTTTGAAAATAAAAAATAACTAAAAATAATTAATACAATAAGTAAAGCAAGATCACCTATCGAAAGATTTTAAAGAATTATTTGCATCTCAACTGCAGTGTTGGGGTGCTATCAGCTGTTTCTGCTAAGTACATCTCTGCACTTGACACTCATACACGGTCAGCCATGTCAGTTGTCAGTTCTAACTTCGTTGTCACATTTTTTAAAGTTGAATTAGACATTAACATTAATCAAATATAAACGATTCATTGAAAGCCGTAACTTATCACATATTGTACGTTATGAGAAATAATATTTTCGTTTAAAATTTTACTCGCAATGGCGATCATCATCATTGGCGATGAAAGGTTAATTGAGGTCATGGTCATCATCATCATCATCCAATATTATTATATTATTGAGTTTTAAGCTTAAATGTCAAAAGCGCATATTGTTATTATACATTGTGCATTAAGAAGTTGATTAGAAAAGCAATCCGCTTAAATGAAACAACAAAACGCTGAAATGACGGCTAAAAGCGATAAACGGTTCGCGAAAATGACGGCCAAGATCGATCAGCGAATAGCCAAATTAAGAGAAATGAGAGCCGAGTTACTAGCGGCCAATAGAATAATACAATCAACCTTCGAAAGAATATCACCTAACAAAAAAAAACAATTAAAAAAGCTATAGCAAAAACTGCTACACAAGAGTCTGAAATTATTCTACCAGCGTATTCACCTACGGATGAGGCACGTGAAAACTGTGATACACGTGATGGAGATATAGAGATTATTTAAATGATAACATCGGCGTCGGTAGTTACGAGGTCAAGGAGTTACAGCATTACCACTTCTCAACGTCATCAAAATTTACAAGTGAAGCTCTGCTCTTCTTCACGCGATGGAAGAAAGAGCCAAAGGCATTTTCAGCGAGTTAGAATATCCCGAGAACAGGTCATACGAAGAAATAAAAAAATTACTTATACACCGATTCGGACCGTTTGGTTAGCCTGATACGCACGAACACATGTAAATCCATTCGTCACATACATCGATAGATCTCGTTGCGTTTGAATGAAATTTTTTTAAGTACAAAACATTTGTCCTTTTTTTATAATTCAATGTTTTAATAAAATAAATATTAAAATTTGTTGATTTGCACAATTTAAATTGTTCCGTCTTTGTGTCTTTGTTTTTACAGCGACTTTAATTGTAACTTAATTAGAATTAAAGTTAATCTTTGTTTTTACGGCGACTTTGATTGTAACTTAATTAGAATTAACAATTTAAATTATATATTACAATTTAAAAGAATAAAAAAAATTGTTTACCGTGAAAGTGATTCTTATGTTAATAAACATATATTCAAATAATATAATAAATATTTAGAGTATTCATGTGAGTAATAAAAAACTTTTAAAAGTTGTAGATAAGTGTCCGTCATATGTCCACGATCATGCAGATGCATGGGGTATCCACTTTCACGATATTCATGAATGTGTTATATAACTCTACAGAACCTTTATAAAATTTTTATTTATAAAAAGGTTATTTTAAAAGAAAAATTCTACAATTAGGTTTTTACAAAAAAATTAATCATTATTCAATTATTTCTTAATCATTCACGTGTCCGTCCAACAAAAAAGTTAACAAAGTTTACTTTGGCTACGGAAGCTTTTTGATTTACAAAGGAGCTTTGTTGACTATTCTATGGTATTCGATGTTGTAAAGTTACAAAGTCGGTTACGCTATGCTATATATTGGAGGAGGTTTACTTGAATTTCACAAACGCTATAAGTTAGTCTTTGAGGTCACAACTGATATAATATCGAGTCAGTTATACAATCAACTGCAATTCAAAACTCAACAGCAAATAATGATTTCATCACAAAATAAAATTCTGCATCATGGGGCTGCTGATGAGAGGTATATTTTTTATTTAATAATTTGTATTATATAGTATAATTTTGGTTACTGATTAATTAAGTTATATGTGTGTAATCTAACTAAACTAAAGTCTAAAATTATCAGTGGTTTTTGACTCTTCCATTACAGGCAAAAAAAGAATGAAATGATGAAAAAGGAATTGGAGACAAAAGCTGGCACATTTGTTTTGTTCCTGTCCGTGAATCAACATGTCACTGAAGATGAACTCAGCACTATGGTTAGTGTAGACAATTTATTTTGGTATACAAATATATATATTCTTTGGAATAATATTTAATTTAACTGTTCTTTAAAATCTTAGAATTAACATTATAATCTTTTCACTCTAGCTGCAGTTGTTATTTGTTCACCAGTACGATGATGCGATTCGGGAAAGAGCCAATTCTGCATTTTGTGGATATCCTCTATGTCCAGCTAAACTTATTGTGGTGAGTTTGCTTTAGATAATTGAGCTAATGTTTTGAATGTATTGATTTTGAGCTTTTTCAATTTTTTTCACAATTATATTCTTGTAAAAATTGATTTTATCTTTATTTTCAATAACTTGTTCTTACTTTCAATATTTGTTTTGTTTGAAGGTACCAAGAAAGAAAAATCCCATATTTCAAAGAACCTCAACCGTCAATGTCTCAGAGGAAAGAAAAGTAAAAATGCACTTTTTGGTTTTCATCACTGTATTTTTATTAGACCTTGTCATTTAGTTTCATTATTTAGTTCATTCATTTTTTATAACCTATTTTACAATTCATTTATACATTTAAACTTATTATCTAGTTTCATAATTTGGTATTTTAAATAATCTCTCATTCCTTTTTCTAGAAATTTTGCGGCAACCAGTGTTTCCTATCTTCAAAGCATCTGAGGAAACAGATATCAGCAGACCCATTAATAGATCGCATCATGAATGTCAGGAAATTTGACTACCTCAGGAATCAGTCCAACTTCGAAAAATCTGAAATCATACAAAAGCCACCAGGTGACAGTCTCGCTGATAAAATTAAAAAAATGAGTCTCAGGGAGCACGATGATCACAATGGTGACGACGACTATGATAATGATGGTTACAGAAATAATTACAGCATGAATAGATGCGACGATTACAATGGCTTCGATTATGATGATGATGATAAAGATAAATTAAAAAAAATTTTGCCAAAAAGAAACCCGGAGCTAAAGAAGAAAACGGAAACAAGACGCACAGTGATGCTGCAAAGTTTGTTTGAAATGTTCTTGTGTAAATGCATGTGTTCTTGTGTATGTGCCATATTTTGTTATGATTAGTTTAGTTGTAGTGATTGTTATTTGCTAAGGTGGTTCTGATTTGTTGAGCTCATTTGCCCTTTATAAATAGAAAATCAAAAATAAAGAGCAATTTTTTATTTAATAACAGATTGGGAGTTGCCACCAATGATCTCAGCGCCAGCAGCAGCAGCAGCGCCAGCAGCAGCAACTTTGTCAACATGTTCGACATCAACGTCGACAGCAACAACATCATCGTGCCAACAATTACGACGACTATTGAAAGTTCGTCGACGGATCAAGAAAACACCTTTGGAAGATTCAATGCAGTCTTTAACAACTGCAACTATACCATCACCACACATACAATTACGACGACAAATTAAAGCTCATAGAAGAATCCACAATACATCTTTGGATAGTCTTTGATGAATTTCAGGAAGATCAGAAATTTTCCTGCGTTGGATCAATGCTTGCTGTTTCCATTTCCTTGTAGCTATCATTAAAGTCAATTTTGTTACAGAGAACTGGAAATATACATGCAAAACCTTTAAGATCACGCGCGGAAAAAAACGCCGTCACTGGCTACAAAAAGTCATTATATTCTCATATGTTGAATCTTTTCTTTTTTTGATACACTTATAATTGTTTGTTGAAATTATTTTTTAATTTAAAATTTTCAGTAAAAATAAAAGTTGTAAATGAATTCACAAATGTAGAGTCAATTAATTAACTTTAATCGTAATGCCGGTCCTATATGTATATCTCTATAACAAGTAAATTCAATGACTTTTTGACGTTTGCGTAATAACTAAAAAATATATATTTTATCATAATTTCGAAAGTCGTAGTAATGAATGTTTTGGACAAAATTTCCGAACGGCTGATAAAATCCTAAATATCTTAAATCATGAACATCTAAAATTATACAAGACAAACAATTTAGCAAAAAAACTGCTCAATAGATTTTAATTAGCCATAAATGTTTGTGTTATAGAACAATGATAGAGTTACTTTACTTAACTGAGCTTCAACCTCTCATTTAGATTTTATTTGTGTTCACTCACGTTGGCTCATATTTGATCAACTTCAACATTCGAAGTTATGACTGAAAAAATTGCAAGCATCATTTTTTTTTAATTCAAAGAACAAAAAGTTTCTAATCGAACCGTGAATCTTGAGAATTTTTTAGTTCTTAAATACAATTTTCCAATTATAATTTAAAAATTGAACTATAAACCACTTGAACTTAACGATGACCAAAAATGTTTGCGCCATTTTATTATCACCTGCAGTCAATAATTATTTTTAAAAATAATTAAAAAAATGAATATTGTACATTTTATCTGTTTCAATTAAAACCAAGAGCGGAGCTTGATAACGTTAATGTATGTTTATTTTAATAATTAATGATTATGTAGAACTTTTTAAATTAGTTTAATGGTAACTTCAATAATAAAAGAAGAGCACGTGAGGCGTCTGTGTAGTGCGCATGAGCGTGTAAACATGTTGAATTTTATTCACCCAATAAAATTATTTATTCTAGCAAAGAAAGTTAATGAACATTGTGATCATTATGATGTTAGTGATTGCTGTGGTGTCGTGGCACTCCTGTCAACCATGACATTTCCAGAACTTCATATCATGTAATTATGTATCTTTGGTGTTAAGAGACCTTTATAAGACTGCATCGAATGTCGTAGTTTTATTAAAAATTGTCCAGCCTGTAATTCAACCAATTCAAGTTTGAAAACAAGTGGAGTAATATTTTTGAAACGGCAACTTCAACATATCTACAGCAGCTAACACTCTTCCTAAGACAATGGTTTTATGGACAGATTCTGTTAGAGCAGTGGTGGTGTCCAATCCAACAGCCTTGTCATCTGTGCCTGCAGTGTCCGGTCCTATAATGTGGTCGCGAGTGTGCGATGATTCAGCACACTCCTTATCGTCTACAAAATTAAACGTAGCCGTTTTAAATTTTTCAGACTGGCTGACGTTTGCAGAAAATTATGAAATTGTGTGGCAAACGGATACAGTAACAGCAGTTATGGCGCTGATGCCAATGGAAATGTCATCCGTAGCTGCAGTGGTCGGGCCAGTAATGTCTTCGAAGGTGTTTGAGACGTCATCACGACTTTCATCGCTTCACAGCAGAAGAGTGGAAAGTAGAAAACGAAAGCTAAATGATGACTACAATGGTATTCCATATAAAAGAATGAAATTGACAACACCAACGTAATTGATCAAAACAAGGGAGGGACGCAATGTATATAATTTTTTTCAACCTTTCATTTATATTGTCTTAATGTGGAAAATAATTTAATAAAAACTAAAACCTGTTGTCAGTGTTTAGTTTTGATTTTCAATTTCAACTTTTTGGAAAATTTCGCCAAAATAATGAAAATTTGGAACAAAATGTTTAAATTGATGATGAAATCATAAAAATATTAATTTATAAAAAAAACCAATAAACAAACATAAAATGTTGAATGTTCAATCGAATTTGTTTAGATGGATTCTGGGGTGAGCGATATAAGGATACATATCCCGTAGCATCGAATTTCGTTTAAAAATTGTTTTTCGGACTACTAATTTCAAAAATTTGTTTTTTACATAACAGTAATTGTAAAGAAATTAAAATTTTTGTAGTGGCGATAATTTATATTGCTAACTGGTTAGCTGGACGATCAATCTGGCACAGAAAAAAAAATGTTTAATGAGTTCTAACAAGGAAAGTTAATGAACTTTGATAATCATTATGATGTTAGTGATTGCTGTGATGTCGTGACACTCATGCTAATAAAGTCATTTCCAGGGCCTCGGCTTATATGATATTATGTAAATATACATTGTGCGTTTGTGTTATTGTTTCTCTGTGTGTGTGCGTGTGTGGTTTTTTGCACTTGTTTTGTATCTTTTAATAAATGTTTAATATTTCTTATTCATTATTACTTTAATTATTTACTACTAAATTAAATAGTTTTTTAGAATTATTTTTTATTAGTCACTTGAATTGTAAAACTAGCACGCGGGGGCTTCTGTGATGTGTGAGCGTGTGAACGTGTTAAATTTTATTCACTCAATAAAATTATGCCGAAATGAGTTCTAACAAGAAAAGTTAATGGACTTTGATAATCATTATGATGTTAGTGATTGCTGTGATGTCGTGACACTCATGCTAATAAAGTCATTTCCAGGACCTCAGCTTATAATATTATGATATTATGATATTATGTAACTTTATGCGTTGGCGCTCTGTTTGGAAACCTATATAAGTTGGCATCAAATGTCGTGGAGCGTATAATTAAAGAGTTTCCATCTCAGATTGCTAACATCGTTTTAGCCTTTCTTCAATTCAAGTTCGGACTTAAGTCAAGTGTAGGAAGTTTGTGAAACAGATTCAACTTCATTCAAAGTATCCCACAATAAAATGGCGTCATGCATAGAAATGATAATGATAAAGATGGCGCTGATTTTCACGGCCTCGATAACTGTGACCGCAGTGACCAGGCCCATAATGTCGTCTCGTGTTTATGAACCACCACGATTTCAGCCGTTTCACAACAGAAAACGAAAAATGGTGGATGATGACGACAACAATCATGGAATTCCACACAAAAGAATGAGGCTGGCGTGAACAATGTCAATAATTTTTAAACCTTTTTCAACAATGAGCATGTGATATTTTAAGCAAATATATAATAAAACGCTGCTTAATTTTGGAACTTTATTTCGACCCGAAGTGTCTCATTTAATTTTTGATTTGATGTCGTAGATTGTTCACATACATGTTCTAGAGTAATGAATGTTTTGGACAAAATGTACAAACGACTGATTAAATCAAGAACATCTAAAATTATACAAGACAAACAGTTTAACAAATAAACTGCTCAACAGAATTTATTTAGTCATCAAAGTTTATGGTAGAACAATGATAATTGGAGCTACTTTACTTAACAGAGATTCAACCTCTCATTTAGTAGCTTTCAATTTCGAAACAATATTTGTGATCGCTCACGTTGGCTCATATTTTTTCAGCTTCAACATTCGACGTTATGATTGAAAAAATTGCCGGCATCATTTTTTTAAATTCAAAAAACAAAATCTTATGTGCATAGAAATAACAATGATGGCGCCGATTTCCACGGCCTCGATAACTGTGACCGCAGTGACCAGGCCCATAATGTCGTATCGTGTTTATGAACCACGACGTATCTCATTAAATTTTTGATTTGATGTAGAAGAGTGTTCAAATACATTTTGCTAGAGTAATGAATGTTTTTGACGAAATGTCCAATCGACTGATTAAATCATGAACATCTAAAATTATACAAGACTAACAATTTGTCAAATAAACTGCTCAATAGATTTTATTTAGTCTTCAAAGATTGTGTTATAGAACAATGATAAATGGAGCTACTTTACTTAACTGAGCTTTAACCTCTCATTTAGTAGCTTTCAATTTCGAAACAAAATTTGTGATCGCTCACGTTGGCTCATATTTTTTCAACATTCGACGTTATGATTAATAAAATTGCATACATCATTTTTTTAAATTCAAATAACAAAAATTTTTCAATCCACCGGTAAATCTTGAAAAATTCTCAATTTTTCAAACGCAATTTTCCAATTTTAATTTAAAAATTAAACTTTAAACTTGAACTTTACTTTGAAAAAAATATCTGCGTCATTATATTATCACCTTAAGTCAATTTTTTCTATTCCCTTACAAATTATTTAAAAAATGAATATTATACATTTTATTTGTTTCAATTGAAACCACAAGCGGACCTTGATATCTTTAATGTATGTTTATTGATGCATATTTTAATCATTAAAATTTATTTAGTAATTTTTGTGTTAATTAATTACTGATGTTTAATGGTAGTTTCAATAATAAAAGAAGAGCACGGCACGTGAGGCGTTTGTGATTTGCGCATGAGCGTGTAAAACTTTTGAATTTTATTCACCCAATAAAATTATTCTAGCAAAGAAAGTTAATGAACATTGTGATCATTATGATGTTAGTGATTGCAGTGATGTCATGGCACTCCTGTCAACTATGACATTTCCAGAAGCTCAATTCATGTTATTATGTATCTTTGGTGTAAAGAGACCTATATAAGGCTGCATCGAATGTCTTAGTTTCATTAAAAATTGTCCAGCCTGTAATTCAACCAATTCAAGTTTGAAAACAAGTTAAGTGGAGTAATATTTTTGAAACGGCAACTTCAACATATCTACAGCAGCTAACACAAGACAATCTTCCTAAGACAATGGTTTCATGGACAGATTCTGTTAGAGTAGTGGTGGTGTCCAATCCAACAGCCTTGTCATCTGTGCCTGCAGTGTCCGGACCTATAATGTGGTCGCGGGTGTGCGATGATTCAGCACACTCCTTATCGTCTATAAAATTAAACGTAGCCGATTTAAATTTTTCAGACTGGCTGACGTTTGCAGAAAATTATGAAATTGTGTGGCAAACGGATACAGTAACAGCAGTTATGGCGCTGATGCCAATGGAAATGTCATCCGTAGCTGCAGTGGTCGGGCCAGTAATGTCTTCGAAGGTGTTTGAGACGTCATCACGACTTTCATCGCTTCACAGCAGAAGAGTGGAAAGTAGAAAACGAAAGCTAAATGATGACTACAATGGTATTCCATATAAAAGAATGAAATTGACAACACTAACGTAATTGATCAAAACAAGGGAGGGACGCAATGTTTATAATTTTTTTCAACCTTTCATTTATATTGTCTTAATGTAGAAAATAATTTAATAAAAACTAAAACATGTTGTCAGTGTTTTGTTTTTATTTTCAATTTCGATTTTTTTGTGAAAATTTCGCCTGAATAATGAAAATTTGAAACAAAATGTTTAAATAGATGATGAAATCATAAACATCTAATTTTATAAAAATATCAATGAACAAACAAAAAATGTTGATTGTTCAATCGAATTTGTTTAGATGGATTCTGGGGTGAGCGATATAAGGATACATATCCCATAGCATCGAATTTCGTTTAAAAATTATTTTTCGGACTACTAATTTTGAAAATTAATTTTTTAAAAGACAGTAATTTTAAATAAATTAAAGTTTTTGTATTGGCGATACTTTATATTGCTAAATGGTTGGCTCGACGGTCAATCTGGAGCCACAAAAAAAGAAATGTTTAAATTGATGACGAAATCATGAACATCTTAGAATATAAAAAAAAATAAACCAACAAAAAATGTTGATTGTTCAATCGAATTTATTTGACACTAAATGTTCGTAAATTTTGAAGTGAATTAACAAATAACTGCACTTGACTAAGCATTTTATAGTTTCAATTTCGAAACAATTTTTGTAATCAATCAAGTTTGCAAAATTTGTTCAACTTCAACATTTGACGTTAAGATTATAAAGAAATGCCTTGATTTAATTTACAAGCTGAAATTGATATTTACCAATTGAACAACCGACTAAATCAATTGAAATGACTGATAATTTGAATAATGTCATGTCATATCAAATAAGATTTCAATTACAAAAAGTCTGAAATATTATTTAATTGAAAATTAATCAATAATTCATAAAACAATTGTTTTATATTTGGAATTTTCGAAAAAGTAACAACGAGTTGTTATATCCTGGGCTGAATGGGCTTTCTTCGAATATCCATTTAATTATTCAACACTTCATAAATCAATTGTTTTCTATTTGGAATTTTCGAAGAAGTAACAACGGGTTGTTATTATATTCGTTGAATGGGCTTTCCTCGACTGTCCAACGATTGATCATTTTTCATAACTACAACATTTAGTAAAAAGCAAGTAAGTTTTTCATTTTCGAATGATTTTGAAAAAATTAACCACGAATCCCATTAAATTCATTTGATTTTAAAAGCGCGTATTGTTATTATACATTGTGCGTTTGTGTTATTGTTTCACTGTGTGTAGTTTTTGCACTTGTTTTCTATCTTTTAATAAATGTTTAATATTTCTTATTCATTATTTCTTCAAGTATTTATTACTGAATTAAATAGTTTATTAGAAGTATTTTTTATTAGTCACTTGAATTGTAAAACTAGCACGCGGGGGCTTCTGTGATGTGGGAGCGTGTGAACGTGTTAAATTTTATCCACTCAATAAAATGATGCCGAAATGAGTTCTAACAAGGAAAGTTAATGAACTTTGATAATCATTATGATGTTAGTGATTGCTGTGATGTCGTGAAACTCATGCTAATAAAGTCA